CCGTTTTCGACCTTCTGCCTCATCTCCGGCCCTTTCTTACCCCTCTGTTCTTCTTTAAAACTAGTCCTAACTGTCTAATGTATATCCAGTGACAACCCACAGTCCTTATTTTACCACAACAAGAACTAATATAACGTTTTAACACAACAACAATTTATATGCTTAAAACAGTCAACAAAGAACACAGTTGCAAGAATTGTTTCAAACAAAACTCAGCCCATACAGATGATTAAATTAACATATATTAATCATGAAAGGTTCAATTAATATTCATTTAACATCCTAGAGATCCTCTAGGTATGCATAGAACACAGGCCAAGGGAGAGAGGAAGAAAAGAACTTGCCTCTATGGTTTTTGAATAAAAACCTTATCGCCGTCTTCCTAGAGTTTCCGACGACGTCCAATTAACTATCAATCTTCTATTGCTCCACCTTCCCTTCTCCTAGGTCCATCCTTTAATCAGCAGCCGAACCCTAACGGCAAATCCTTCTGTTTTCCTTACAATCTCTCTCTCTGTTTTCTCTCTATAACTCTCTATTTGTGAACGAGTGTTTGTGAATGAAGTTTTATTGATTCCTAACCCTAAGCCGACGTCTAATGATATATTTATAGGTTTAGAAAACTAAAACCCTAATTCTAATTTTAATCCTAGAAAGAAAAGAACAATCACAAAAGTTATAATCCAAGTCAGCTAAATACGTGAGAACATACACGTAACCCTAAAATTATAACATATATTAAATTATGATAAACAATACCAGTTTAATTATTAATAAATACCAATAATTAAAACTACCCTATATACATATATACCCATATATACTTGTATATACTTCCATGGGTAAAAACTGTACCCATTCACATTATTCAAACAGTTTGTTAATCCTATCCAAGCCCAACCTCGTTTTAAAGATAAATAAATAAAATAACACATTCAAATGCCACCTAAGCATATAATTTAATTAAAACAAACAATTCAATTAACCAATTAAACATTTAGACAATCAAGCAAATAGTCAAAATTGTAATTTAAAAATCTTTAAACAATTAATTAAAAACACTTAAGCACACACAAACTACCAAAATACAATAAAATAAAATAATTAATTGCCAATTATATCCTTTTGAAACTAGGGGTATTACAGCTGTCGATGAGGGTTTGGTCGGCCAAACCTGGGGTTTCGGTCGGCTGATGGTAAGGATCAGCCGGCCGAAACATGACTCTGGACCCTGTACCTCACTGGAACGGTCACTAAATGTGTTTGCTACCCCTTGAGCTCACATCAAACCTGTCTTGCAACCACATCCCGAATTCACGGCATCAAAATAAATTATAAAACAATTAAATGGCATCAACGATTAAACTAAGCATAGCTCCTTTTCCCATTCATCATGAAATATATATACCTAGTCTCAAGTTACATTTCAAGTACCATCAAGTGTTCTAATTACAATACATGGCCATGACTTTGAACATGAATACATTTTACAAAAGTATGAGACTTTGCACAAGAAAAGGGAAGTATACAAAAGACGACAAAATGCAATTTCAAGTCTTCGTCAAACTTGTGGTGGAATATCATCCACCACTTCCTTTCCGAGCCCTGAAAAAAATGTTAAATAGAATGGGGTGAGAAAATTGCTCAGTAGGTAGTGCCTAAGACATACCTCTTGTAGCCTAATCCAAACAATGAATAGGACAATAGAGAACGGGGTCATACAAAGCCAAGAAAAACTACAATATCAGTTCCAAAATTCAAACGAGTAAATGTCGTGCCATGAATGCAATGCCATGCATGTCACTCCCCATTTTCAGAAAAACATCCATCACTTGATAAACTGTTAATATAACCCGCCTTTGGTACCCCCGCAGCGTCATTTGGGGCCAGATAGCTCAACCATGCTAGGGCAATCTCCCTAATTCCCTCTAGGCTATATTAACACACCAGCCCTTTGGTAACTCCGCGGCGACCGGGTTTTCTCAAAACCACTTTTCTCAAATCTTCCCCAAAATTCCCCTTTTTCATCTTTCTCAAAACATTTCACCCTTTCTTGTACCCAATGCTTGGATGCATATGACATGCCTTTTTAATACTACGAAAATTAGGGAAATTAATGTTATACAACTAGCATGCTTCCTCATAACAATTTCTAGCAATTTAATGAACACAATAAGCATAGAAATCAACAATTAGGCATGCTTCCCATGTAAATCAATAAATACTCATAAATTGCAAGCTTCATATGCATATTTAAAATCATTTAAGAGATAATCAATTCAAATATAGCATGACTGACAACAATTAAAGTAAGGAAACTCACAAAGGAACAAGACTTTGAGTATTAGAGACCCCTACCTTAAAATGGTGCAAAACCCCCAATTTGATCTTAAATCCTAGAATTTTGTGATCCTTTAAATGGTGGCCAATTGAAGATTGGCTCCGATCAATTCATAGATCTCGTCGTGGGCTTCAATTTGCCGCAAACGGCACTCAAAATCTCCAAATAGTGAAAGAGAGATCTAAGATTGAAATTTGAAGGAAAAATAAAATGAAAATGAAAATGAAAATGAAAATGAAAATGGTGAGGGACAGAGAGCCTGCAGGAGAGTGAGAGAGAATTGAGACCCAAAGTGGTCTCTAGACCACTCACATGGGGTGAGGTGGGTCCACCAAATTTTATTTTATTTTTCCTTTTTCTTTTTATCTTCAATTCTCACCATATACACATAAATACACATGAAATAATTTCACAAATTTATATAACACATCAAACAAAATAAATATGATGCAAGTGGACCCAACCAAAATCTCAAGATGAAACAATACCGACAGTGGGTCCCACACGGAACCGTCCAACCCGAAAAATTGAAAAATGCGAAAATGATCACCCTTACATTTCAAAGAGTCCTTGACTCAATGAAATGTCCCAAACAACTCTCCGACACAACTGGCACACTCCATAGTGTCTGATACGCAAAACGATAAAAGACGAAAATGCCCCTGCAGCGACAAAATTTCCGAAAAAAGAAAAATGCCAAAAATTGGAAACATCACACCGTCAATATTTTTTTGAAATGTGAAAGAAAATAAGCATTCGGGGGAATACTACATTGTAGGTAGTTAGAATATTCAATAATTTCTATAAACATGAAAGAAAATAATACCATTAGCCTAATGTGGTGCAGCTAGAGAGATAAAGATAATGGTGAGATTTGAACAAAAACATGTTCGTGGAAGCTTACCATCAAATATAATATCAAATCCAAAAACTAATTTGAAAATGCATTACTAATTTAATACCTTATCTGAAATGGATGTAATTGACAAGAAACCTACCGTTAAATATTTATTTATATAAAATCATTGAATATGAACTCCAAAAAAATACTAGTTTGACAATGCATTAGTAATCTAATACCTAATCTGATATGGATATAATTAACACAAAACCAACCATTTGATAGTACTTACATAAAATGATAGACCTACCCATACTCATTTGAATGAGTCTTCTGCTTTGGGAATCATAATAAACAAACCAACAACTTATTTTGCATTTAGTGAATTATTTTGATTTTAAGCTTAGAAAAAACAATAGAGCTTTACAATATGGGTGCATCATAGTCTTTTAAACTGGCCCAGAAATTTGGTATACCGAAGAAGCTATGGCTAACTTTCCACTCCACTTGCCCATTTGAGCATGGTTATATAAAATTTTCCGAAGTAATGCTATGGTAACCTTCCACTCTACCATTTGATTAATGATATATAAAATTGTCCAAACCAACAATCTCTTTTATTTATTTATTTTTAATTGAGAAACGATAAAGACTCAAAACATTAGTCACGCCATTCCTTTTATTTAAAAGGTTAGATCTCGGGAATATTTGATATTAAATCATACGCTAAACATTTTTGAATTGGCTGAATAGAGAAAAGTGTAACAAACTCAGGGATGGAGAAATTGTTAGGAGATGAAGAGTTCTTCTATAAGGAAAATGAGGAGAATAAAAGATGAAAAATTTCGAGGAGGTCTGTCTCAGAACTGAAGAAAAAACTACTAGCATATATATTTGGTATTGAAAATCCAGAGTATGAAGAGGATTTGAGCAATAGAAATATAATCATTATGTAAACTGCAAATTATTCATTGACTAGAATTTTACCCTTCCTCTATATTTTCGCCCCTGATTAGTGCTGTAGATTTTTAGTGCACAAAACAAAGTGAATATATGAATTTTAATTACATCAATATGTTATTTCAGAGAGGTTGGATAAAATAGGATTTGCAGACATTTGGTGATTTGAGCTCATTGGAATTCCGTGGACATCTAATTTGAAGTGCTTTAGCAGAATTTGCACTAAACATTAGAAAAAGCTGCAAATGCTACCTGTTTAAAGAGAGTGAAGATGGGCATGAGCACTTACTATTGGAAATTTTTATATATAAATAATAAAAATATTTTATGGTCTTTGTACTACGTTGTCTTATATATTTGATGGATTGAGTTGTATTTTTCAATTTGGTGGTCTAATTAGGAATATAATTTTATACCGTTAGATTGTGGTTTTCCAATTATATATAAGGGTTTTGAAACCCTTATTTAGCCCTATCGAATGACAACTCTCAATTGGGGTAAAGCACTCTAAAATTTTGCAGGATCACGACTTTACAGGATCACAAAGAATTCTAAGGTTATCCTCCAAAATTTAAATGTACTTTAATCATTAATCAGATACGAAACTAAATTATCTCTTTAATTAATTATAGTGTTCTTGATTTCTACATATAGATTATTTAATTAAAGCCCAATGCTTACCTCTCTATCATGTCAATTGCATAAAAATAGTCGCTTCATATGTTTCTTCCTTTTAAATGATGAGTTAGGATCAAGTGTTAGAATCACATGGGACGGTTCACATTATACACACAGGTGTATTGTCCTGCATTGCATTCGACGTGTGAATACAAACAATTTATAAAAAAAAAACGACCTTGGTTATGGAAAAATGAATACATATCACATAAGTTCTAAAACAACGTGTTTCATCTCGTTTTTGCAAAAAGGTAGACATGGATAGTGGTGAAATATTATATGTTAAAGTGATGTTTGGAAGAGTGACTGAGATGTGAGCTTCCTACAACGTTTGCCGAGTGTCAAAAAACTATTTTGACAGACAAAGCACCTTCCTACAAATTTTGATAATTCCTCAAAATTTGAAGTCCTGCTAGTACTTCCATTGTCCCAAATTAAATGTCTTGGTATGGGACCCCATAAACTCGGATGATTATGAAACAAATTAAATCTGAGTCGGGATACTTCTCATCGTCCTCGTAAGACAGACAAACCTTACACTTTTGCACCACCAAGTAATCATCTCTTATTGTTATCTCCACTTCGTCTCCACCGTCCAAAACATGATTATGCAAACTATTCCAACCTTCATGGTTTACTTTGTAGGAGCGCCACGTTCGTTGATCTTCAAAATCTGACTGATCGGTAACAACTATTTCTCGAGTGAATGAAAAATTACACATCTTGGTTCTATTAGAAACCTCAAAATGGCAATTATGTTGATCACAGAGGCCAAAAAAATCAACACAGATAGCATACCCTTTTATTCTCCGACCCACCAGCTGAGGCACCCGAAAACGTAAAACTATTCCATCACTCCGGTAGTTGCACCACCACATAGTCACATTCCTGGGAGAAACAATGTTACACTGACCCCTTTCTAGCGGTTCCTACATTGGACCACCGAGCTCAGGCTTAATTGATTTCTAGTACTATAAATATAGACACACAGAGAGAGAGAGTAGCGTACCTGATATACATTTCTTTCAAAACTGGATATAAAATCGACTAATTTGGGACAAACTTGAAAAGTCGTGAATGCTGGTATTGATGCCATTGATAAGTTTTCCAATGATTCGCAGTAGAGTACATCCAATTCCAATAAATTTACTGGAAGCCCCTGAATCGATTCAAGCCGACTACATTTGTTTACACGGAGGAACGTCAGTAGCCGAACGGTTTCGGTGGGCGCACGTGTTATAGTAGGCGATACAGACAGATTAAAATAAAGGAGGGACTTCAACTTGAAAATGCTCTGGGGAATATTCTGAAGTTTCCGGCAATTCTTCAGATCCAAGACAACAAGTTTTTCCAGACATCCAATAGATTGATGAACCTCTATCAGCTTTGTACAATCATTAAACAACAATTTCTCAAGACTAGCAAACCCCGTGAAGTTCGGAGTTTTGACCAAGAAATAGGAATGACTGAGATTGAGATATTTTAATTTGCACAAAACCTGTCAGCAACAAATTTTGAAGCATGTCATTATATATAATTAATTTTGAAGCAGATGATCAGAAACAGTAGTATATTGTACCTTTGTTCCTCTCCAAACTTGTTTTAGGTTGCTATAGCTAAAGTCAATGGCAACCAGATTATCCATAATTAAGGTTGTCGGTATATATTTTAAAGGAAATCCTTTCCAAGATAGCCATACAAGTCTTCCAGAGAGATGTTCGTAACTTCCACTTAGATGGACATAATTGAGATTAAGCAGTCTCAGCCTCTCCATCTTTGAAAATGCCTTGGCATTTAGTTGTAGCTCCTTTGATTCTGTCAAATTCAGGACTTAGCCTTGAATCCATTTCGTCCCCTGATGGTAATAAAAAGCTGTAGATATAAGAATATATATATGTGTGTATGTGTGTGTGTGTGTAACATTGTATTAAAAATAAATAGGTTCACATCTCAGATTATGTGACTTTCATGATCTATAGTGTGCTATGGCGACATGTCATTAATTCAGGTGCGGGCTCTTACTGTGTTATGTTTTAGTACGTCGAGAACATCTTCATGATGCCATAATCTACTACGTTCGCCAGGCTCTTCAAGAGATTCTTGGCGGACCATCTCTCTAGCCATGTCTTGAATCAGATCATGCATCATCAGTTGGTTATACTTATCAATGCTTATATAACCACGACGAGATAGAACCCCAATTCCAGATTCTGGGAAGAAACCACAGCCTTCTAGTATTTTGATTGACAAATCTTGGTCCATTCCAACAAAAAAACATGTAATATGCAGGAATAAACCTTTTTGTTCACTATCAAGTGAATCGAAGCTCAGCTTAAGTTTTGCTTGAACATCATTATGAGGAATCTTTTTCAACTTCTTCAATTCACTTCTCCATTCAGGTACTTTCTTGTCAGACAAAAAGGAACCCAAAATTTCAAGAACTAGAGGAAGCCCCTTAGCATATCTCACTACTTCCTCAGAGAGGATCTTAAAGTCTTCTCCAGGGTGGTCTTTCCTAAAGGCATGCCAACTGAAAAGTTGAAGAGATTCTTCCTTATTCAACTCGTCAAGCCTATACACCTCATCCACTCGAAGTGAACTTACTGATGACAAATCTCTAGTTGTTACTATGATTCTACTTCCTAGGCATAAAAAATCACGATTTATGGCTAATGCCCTCAATTGGCGGATGTTATCTACGTCATCAAGAACAAGAAGAACCCTTTGACACAATGCTCGCCGTTTTATCAGCTCAATTCCATGAGATTCACTTCTTATTTTGTGATTTTCATCCATTAGGAGATCACAAAGAAGTTTTTCTTGTAATTGAACAAGACCGTTGGGTTGCGTTGAAGTTGGCCCAACATTTGCAAGAAAGGTACTTCTTTCAAACTCACTAATACGATGTATGCGATTATACATGGCTATAGCAATTGTAGTCTTACCTATTCCACCAATCCCCCATATGGCGACAATCCTAACATCATCAATATTTGACCCCAACTTTAGAAACCTACTCAGTCATTGAACTCGACGTTGTATTCCAATTGGGTAGTCCGCAACACTTAAACAGGTAGGATTTAATTTATCTACAACTTCTCCAACAACAGTCTCGATAAACGTTGACTCACACCTGCCAAATTATTTATTTATTTTTTAGATTATGAAAAAAAAATATGAAACAAAGCAATTTTTATAGTGAAAGATCAAATTAAATAAGTGATCAGATCGTTAATGTTTTAGATTGCTATTTTGAATAGAAGAAAGAGAATTTAGTACCCGTTGGCCACATTTTGTAGGACGTAACCGGACAAATTGCCAACCTTAGCTAGAGCTGACCTCCAATTTTTCACCGATTTGAAGTTGAACTGATTTTTGTGACTGGCAAACGCTTCTGCATAACAGCCCCTCTGTGATCGAACGTCGGAAGGTTGGACGTCATAGAAGACGGGAATAACAATCTGATTGAGTTTCCTCTTGCAATCCATAATCTTCACTAGCTCATCAAGGCACCATCTTGAGGACGCGTAATTTTGCGAGAATACAATAACAGAAACCCTTGATTCCTCAATTGCTTTGAACAATCGGGGACCAACTTCTTCTCCTCTTTTGAGTTTGGTGTCATCTCTGAATGTGTAAAAACCATGCCGATCCAAAGCGGCCAAAAGGTGGCCTGTAAATTTCTTGCGAGTATCAACACCGCTGAATGACAAGAACACATCGTAAACACAGGAATCCGCCATTTTCTAAGCTCAAGGACGAGATCAATTGACAGAATACGATCATTTAACACTCAATTTGAAAGGAATTAGGAGTCTCGACTGTTTATGTGGGTAAGTGAATGTCTTTTAGGCATCTCAACTGGGTTCAGCAATTAAAAAAAAGAGCTACTAATGTTGTTTGCTTTTGTGACCCCACTTGAGGAGAGTGGTAGGTATTCACCGCAGCCGCAGCGTAGTTTCTTTATCACCCAATTAAACCCAAAAAACAGTTCATGACTCCCCCATATGCCTCATCAGAACATGTTTTGAGTTTGATTTAACTTCTGCACCCAAAAAAAAAAAAAAAAAAATTAATAAAAAAAATTACTTGATCATTTATAAAAAATAAAAAATAAAAAATAAAAACTTACTAACCATTTTTACAATTAAATACTTCCATTATCGGTATTGTTTCGAGTCTAAAAATAAGATACGAATTCTCTCCTTGGGACATCTTTCCCATGCTGTCTTCAAAACTAATCTGAAAGCTAATATTAAGACAGTGTAGGAATGGTCTTCATCTTGAATTATTATTATTTTTTTTTCTTAGAGCACGTATATCGACCTAACAACACACATGTTATTCAAGTCAAGAGTGTATTACGAAAGCGAGACTTCAAAAACTTACCTGCTAAATTCTTACCAACACCGTTATACCCTGGGGCCTTCACCATGAATCCTTGATCAATATGAATCCTTTGATTTGTATGGAAAGGAAGTTTTTCTTATTCAATCACATTTGAAACAATTAAAAATCAGTTATCTTTAAGTGGATTTTTCTATATTTTTTTAGTGAAAATTTTATTTGATTTGAGAATAATTTGATATTTTGGTATAAGAGTATGGAAGGTATTTTAGTCCTAAACAATAATTATTAATGCATATATAATTATTTTATTTAATTTAATTAAAATTAAAATTAAACTTTTTAAATAGACCAATTTATAACAAATGTAAATGTTTATAACTCCGGACCTAAATGTAATATATATATATATATATATATATATATATAATCGGGTACAACCGATGACAAATTTAATAGGACGTATATCACTAAGCCGCTTTTCCATAATTTTTTGTCATTGTATAGTGTTTTATGGTAGGGCCTATTTAAGATATACTCAATTGGGATTCATAGTCCAAGGAACCTCCCTCATGTAATACCCTTTTGTTATTATAAAATATATAAATGTACCGTTCTCGTTGGTCCTTAATTAAAATCTTCACCCAATCCCCAAGACCTGAGCCTTGTTTGGATTTGAAGACTTTGATAAATAAAAAGCCTATCAACCTCTTATTATCATTGTATATTATAATTGGAAAACGATTTTTGAAATGAACCAAACATAACAAACATAGGCCGATAGGCGTGTGAGCTGTTTGATGCATTCATATTGATTTTAATAGTGATTTCAGACTATGACTTATTGGCTTAATTCAGTTGGAAAAGTATCAAATGACGACTCCCTTGCCTATGTTCTTAATAATGTCGAAGTGTTATGCTTGTAAACGAGTTGTCGAAAGACTTCAAAATCAATTACTTGAAAACTTAACTCTTATTCTTATTCATTATTGTGGGGGCAAAAATCTCTCCTTCCAATTAAGACAAGACACATCAACACATAAAGGACCACCACAATCACTAAGACTATTCAACTTTTAAATTGGGCCTCTACAAGAAGCTTAGGCCGGGTTGACTAAGCATGATGGGCTGAACTCATTAAGAAGGCCCGAGATGATAAGACCCCAAGCCCAATTACGAATATATTACTAAACCCATTTTAGTAACAGTTCTATTAGAAGAAAGATTATAATCTATCGAAACCAAATAATGTAAATCCTTGTTATAAGGATAGTATGATGTAATTCAGATTCTTAAGGGACAAGCAATGCGAGTCCTGAAAGGAATCAATTAGGGTTTTTTCCTATATAAAAAGGGCTTAGTACCCTCAATAAGGGGACAGGGGAAAAAGGGCAAAGTTACCAAAAAAGAGATCCAATTCTCATCGTCAGAACTACGTCCGGGTCCGGGACCTGATTCCCACACTCTATGAGGTGGGATACCTAGGCAATCTAGGTAATCCTAAGTTTGGTCATATCATCAAAATACCCCCTCAAGGTAACCCTAAGTTTGGTCATATCATCAAAATACTCCCTCATCTCTTTACAATCTCTCTAGTTTGTTATTTTTTCTCCATTATTATTTTGGGTGTATTAATTACAGAGATTTTGTTAACTTGTCAAAGTCGAACAAATTTTTGCACCTACACTTTGGCACCGTCTGTGGGAATTGTATAGAAATATATCCCCACCAAAGTTACAACACTTTAAATTAAAATCTCCAAGTCCAGCAACGTGACTTGAAATTAAAATCTTCTAAGTCCAGGATTTGAACCCAAGTCCTCTCCAACACACGTAACAAGCGCTGCAAGCGCAGACGTCCAAAAGTGCAAGCTGGCCGAGTCCAACATCCGAACGACCCACAAGGTTCTTTCCATCAACAATGCCGCTTAATATGCTTTCGCACAATAATGCGTAGCAAGACTGATGAATGGAAAGCCCATGAGGCATCACGTGTATTTGCCCTGGTAATCAGATGTCCATTCGAACCCAAAAAGCCATAAACTAATCAGATAAGTGTTTTGATCTTGATTTCCTGTTAATATTGATTTTATATATATATATATATTCTTGATCAACAAACCCAACCTGCATAATTATCATATAAGCACTAGCTAGGGTGAAGTGGTTAAGTGGTTAATTAGTCCCATAAGCCCTTTGTAGATCTACTATTTCGTGCTACAATTTTGCACTCACAGGCATGGAAAACCCCTCTGCAGACACACTGCTACTCTAACCCGGTGATATGTTTCCCAACTCATTTGCTTACTTCTTTGCCTTACTTGCAAACCAGCATGATTAAGTGTCTAGTTGCTCTCTGTTGATATTACTTATTTACTTATGCACACAAGTCATTTCACTTTGCCTTACTGATCGAGCACCACCTATATGTCAAAATCGTCTATATTTGCTGATTCTGCAGAAAAAA